AACAGATCCATCGACTGATCCAGCATAGAATATTGTTATTCTTTTTCCTCTATTAGAAGGCGCTTTTGTTGAACAAGATTGACTATTATCTACCCAACCTTTAGATGGCGTATTGTGGGTATCAAACCACGTTTCATCTAAAAAAATAAGAGGTGGATTCTCTCGACGATACTGTGCCTGCTATGATATGTTGCCTTGTCCATAACTATAACACTATTAGGAGGGATATTGGGTATTAACTCATTTTTAAACTGGTCTTCAAATATATCTGAAGTTGTGTTGTTATGGTAATCGAGACATGAATCACTGATGTTTTTAGCTGATAGAGATAAGGCATTTGGAACAGATCCATCGACTGATCCAGCATAGAATATTGTTATTCTTTTTCCTCTATTAGAAGGCGCTTTTGTTGAACAAGATTGACTATTATCTACCCAACCTTTAGATGGCGTATTGTGGGTATCAAACCACGTTTCATCTAAAAAAATAAGAGGTGGATTCTCTCAACGATACTGTTTAATTTTGTTTAAATATTTCGTTCGACATATCCATAAACGATATGATTCCATAAGTACCTGTCTTTTATCTACTTTTGCAAACGCTTCCAAACAGTTGTTCTACCGCACTTAATTTCAGTATTGTCGACGTGGAGCCTGTCAACTAATATATTTAGTATGGATACAATTTGTTCTTCATACAAGGCATACACTTTGCAACTAATGAGATCTTCATCTGCACGACCGAGCTTCCGACAAGTAGTGTTATCCTGTCTTGTTAATCTTGGTATAATAGGATTACTTACAATTTTTCTGACTGTAGATAATGGCCGGTCCAGTCAATTTGACTAAATTAATTTATGGCGTATTTTCTTCGTTGAGACTTAAAATAATGATTAATCAAAGAATACAATAATTATGGGAAATTTGTATGTTTATAAAAAGAGTTTTTTGACATTACACTTGAATGATAATACAGTGGAACTCGCTTATTACGGCCTCGGTAGTTACGTCATCACGGTTATAACGTCAATTTTTAATAGGTCCGGTCAAAAACTATTCCATAACGTTATTAAAAACTTGGTTTTATCGGCTAAAAATAACCTAACCCTCGGTTATAGCGTCATAAAATTTTATAGTAGGTTATCCTTTTTTTATTTTATGAAGAATAAAGTGCAATGCGTTTCTGGCTTTGCGGCATTTGTTCCTTCCAAGAATGTAAGAAAGGTCCATTATCCCTTCTGTGTACAGTTATGTTACCTTGACAATCTATAATTTCGCATTTATCAGTGCCGTCCTAACACTCCTAACAGTCAAATTTTCTGTTTCGGAACAGTCGGTTTAAGAAATTTTCGCTACCGTGAAATTGTGTTCGGATCGTTTTGTTTTTTTTTTATTTTAATTTGGTAATTAGCTTTTATTTTTTAATATGGCAAGTTGTAGCACTAAAAGGAAGGTTTTGCCTATTAAAGAAAAGTGCGTGTTATAAGAGCATTTGAAAGTGATCGAAAAATTGCTGATGTATGCCGGCAATTTGGACTTGTTAATTCGACTGTCATGTCGGCTCAATCATAAAAAACAAGGACAAAATTTTAAAAGCCTTTAAAGAGGACGGAAACAATGTTAAAAAGATTAGGAATTGTATTCGTGGTGATGTAGATTCAGCTCTACTCAAATGGTTCAAGCAGTGTCGCAGTTCTGATATCTATGTGTCCGGGCCACTTTTAAAGGAGAAAGCTACAGAGTTCGGAAAATTGTTTGGTGAAGATTTCACATGCTCTAACGGCTGGTTAGATCGGTTTAGAGCCAGGCACTTAATTTCCTTCTCGAAAATTGTTGGAGAGGCAAAATGTGTGGACGAGAACGTAACAAGTGACTGGTTACAAAACACATGGCCACAACAAAGGCAACCATACAAAGATGAAGATATCTTTAATGGTGACGAGACAGGTGTTTTTTATAAATTAACGCCAGACAAAACTTTAAATTTCAAAAATCAAAAATGTGTCGGTGGAAAACTTTCCAAGCAAAGAGTGACGGCTTTTGTTTGTGCAAATATGACAGGTACAGAGAAAAGAAAGCTTTTGGTTATTGGGAAAAGTTTACATCCTAGATGTTTCAAAAACATTAAAACACTACCTGTAAACTACACAGCCAATAAAAAAGCATGGATGACTTCTGCTATTTTTGAAGAAGAATTGAGAAAGTGGGACAAGGAACTCTCTTTCAAAAAAAGAAAAATTCTTCTCCTAGTTGACAACTGTGCAGCCCATCCCAAACTTAATTTGACCAATATAAATCTAGTGTTCTTACCAGCCAACTGCACGAGTGTCTTGCAGCCTATGGACCAGGGAGTCATAAGAAGTTTAAAGTGTCATTATCGAAAACAGCTTTTAAAAAGAATGATTTTTTGTATGGATAATGGAGAACCTGTGAACATTACCATCCTGGATGCTGTTCAGTTTTTAGACAATGCGTGGAGTGCGGTTACGTCAGTGACAATTCATAAGTGTTTTCGTCAAGCAAAATTGACTGTAGCCTCTCTCAATGTTGAGGACGTTGATAAAGATGACGAAATGCCTTTGTCAGAGTGGATACAAAAATTTAATGTGAATCAGGGAGCGTTCGGAACTGATCTTGACTCCTACATTTCAGTAGACGATGAGGTGGAAACATTTCAAGTCCTAAGTGATAAAGAAATTGTTGAACTGGTGCAAAACGTGGAAATGGATGTCGATGAAGCTGAAGAAGAAGAAGACATCGTTGCTTGTCCTACAATCCAAGAAGCAATGAGAGCTGCTGAGACCATATCCAGGTTTTACCAGTTCAGGGAGGCATCCACAAATACCAAAGAAGCAGCTCAGCTTATTAAGGAAACAACAGAAAAACTTTATTTTTCGGAAAGGGTTGTGCAAAAGAAAATAACGGACTTTTTTCAGCAATAGAACTTTTTTACACAATGTAAGTTTCATATACATACATAATATGTTTTGATTTTTAATTGTTTTTTATCCTAAAATGATTCTTGTTCCTTTTTTTTTTAATTTGACTTAAGTAAATGTTATATTTTCGGTATATCGTAAACTATGTTAAATTATCATGTTTAGGCCCAGAGTAATTAACAAATAATATATCTACTATACCCAATAATGCTGTAATAATATTTTCCCTCATTAAAATTTTATTTTTCTCAACCTCTTTTTTAACGTCACTCTGATATAGCATCATTTTTTTATTGGACCCTTCAATGACGCTATAACCAAGTTCCACTGTATTTGATTTGATTATATGTATCTACCTACAGTTGACTTGGCCATATGCTGGTCCTGGCAGCTTGGGTAGCTGTAATAATTATACAACAATAGAGTATTTACAAGGGATTATTCAGTTTTACAGCTGTTATTAAAATAACTTTTATAATGAGTCACTAAATTTCTGGATATACTAGAAGATATATTAGAAGAATAAACATTATTCGGCATCGATATTAATAATTTTACAGTTTATAATTGGTTACGCAAACTTTAGCCTTTTGTTTTCTCAAAATGGTTGACTGTCCAGATACAACTATATTTTCTAAGCGGACGAATATAAAAATTGCATATGAGTGCTGCATTATTCACCTTTAAAACGAATTTTGCGTTTACGATAAGACATTCTGATCTAAAGTTATCAAATTTTTACCGTCAAATTAATAAAAAATTTATGTATCTGACATTTCTAATCAATTATAACTGACTTTTAAAATCGCCGGTCGCGTTGTTGTTGTGTATAAAGAGTGGTGGGTTTTTTTAAAAGGCGGAGAGCAAAAAGACAAAGAAGGTGGCTACTTCATCTATTTATTGAAGACGTTTTGCTTTCTAATTAGAAAGCATCATCTGTTCGTCTAAAAAGAACAATATAAAAAACCAAACATCCATAGAAAAGTAATTATAAGTATGTTACCTCAAAAAGTTATGTAGCAGTCAATGATATTAAATATGTAAAAAAGCTTACGACATTGGTCATAAAATGATTATGTTTTATAAACATTTAATTGAAACTAAATAGAGTTTACAAATTAACTCAAACAGCACAGCAAAATACCATGTGGTAATTGTACATGTATATAAAAAGTATGTAAAAACCTTATGTAAAAAACACTTATTTGCCGAGAACTAACAAGATCGTAAGATCACACTTCCAACAATTTATTATTAGTTAAATTTAATTTTTACTTTAGATAACATTGAAATGATTTGGATTGAAATATAGTAATATTAAAAAGAGTAATGAAATTACCACTTTTGTCCTCCTTAGCTGCTACCGGCAATGTGGGAGCAACAAGTTAGAAACCCCAACCATCACGTGAAAAGACAGTGGCCTTGAGGTCAAAATATGCCAATATATGAGGACCTCAAGGCCACTGTCTTTTCAAGTGATGGTTTGGGTTTCTAGCTTATTGCTCCCATTAGTGTTACCTAAAGTAAAAATTAAATTTAACTAATAATAAACTGTTGGAAATGTGATCTTACGATCTTGTTAGTTCTCGGCAAATAAGTGTTTTTTACATAAGGTTTTTACATACTTTTTATATACATGAACAATTACCACATGATCTTAGTTTCAATTAATTGTCTATACAACATAATCATTTAATGTCCCATGTCGTGAGCTTTTTTACATATTTAATATCATTGACTGCTACATGTATTTTTGAGGTAACACACTTATAATTACTTTTCTATGCATGTTTGGTGTTTCATATTGTTCTTTTTAGATGCACTGATAATGCTTTCTGATTAGAAATCGAAACGTCTTCAAAAATAGATAAAGTAGCCAAACGTTATTTATTAAACAACGAGAAAGAAAAGAGAAGGAAAATGTGTTTAATTAGTAATAAAAATTTATCGATTTAATCATTTATATTATATATTGATATTAAAAACCTAAACCAATCAATATAGCTAAGATTAAATTGTTTTTAATTTAAAACAAGTATATTTAATCATGTTTTTTTTTCAGAACTTGTTAAGCTCGACACCGGCGCCCCTTCCGGAATATAAAACAGCTTCGGTGAAGAAAAGCAGATTTATAATCTCTCATTATGGCATGTTTAAAAGTGCCTGGGACTGGCTAATATTAATGGCTACGTTTTATGTAGCTGTAGTTGTGCCCTATAACGCTAGTTTCGAAACCGAAAGACCATCTGTGGTCCTCGACGTCTTTGTAGAAGCTTTATTTTTTATAGGTAAGTTACCTTTTCTTTTCCTTGAGTGAAAATATTCACCGAAAAGGATAAAATGTTTATGTTTGGTTTAAAAATCCCAAAGTTTCTTGACAAGTAAAATTTACGGAAATAAGTTCCAGATAAGTCAAATGTTTCTCTTACTATTAGTAATAATAGCTATGATCACTTAAATTATATCTGTTATATTTGCTGTACTTAACCCTTAACTGGTGATCCTATTTTTAATAACATAAATGGTGACTGTGAGTCTGACAGACTCCTGGCTAAAAAAGATGTTTTTGTCAAGCTGGCACCTAAAAAATTCATTAAAACAGTTTTTAATAATTAAACAATATTGTAATCAAACTGTAGGACTTACTTGTGCAGCATTGTACAAGTACTTGTAACAAACTAAAAACACAGAGTTAATGAAATTTCTTGTGCAGACTGGCCTCGATCTTATATAGGTAACAAATCGTAGAATCCAAAACAGGATTTATGAAAATTCCACTTGTGTTTGCAATTCCAATTCAATTACAGCTCTTGGTCAACACCATCTTCATGCAGATCCCAAAATTGATTATTGAGAACTCCAGAACCATGGCCCCCATCAGCTTCTATAAACCAAAAATTATCCGAGAAGCCATAAAAATTTAAAAAAGGCCAAATTGTCTCAATAAAAGAGATGATGGCATACGGTTACCTTCGACATGGACACCTTTAATAAAGAATATCCTATTTAATATTCTATGATTTGTTTGGCCTATATAGAATCGGGGGCAGCCTGCACAAGGAATTTCATAAAATCCGTGTTGTTCATTTATAGGGTTGTCTTTGACTGATCGGACAAGAGATGAAAGTTTTTGTTGGAGAGTAAATATTGTTTTTATTCCTCTTATTTAAGAATTTTGTCTATTTTGTCAGTGACACCATTGGTGTAAAGAAGAAAAGTTTCGTATGATGAGAGTCTAAGTCTTTGGATTAAGGTTAAGTGGGAGATTGAGGTCTGTAGATGCTCGTATTGATGTGATTTTTACGATAGCCGTTTTAAATGAGGACTTGTTTTAAATAAGAGAGCTCAGCAAGTCTACGTGCATCATCGGCAAGGCGTATTGATCTGAAGACAAGGGTATTAATGATTGAATTAATTTGTGAAGGTGGATGATGAGAGTTGGCAAGCAAGTAAAGATTGGTATGTGTGGGTTTTTGTCAAAGAGAGTAATGAAAACCTTGGGATTGGTTTTTCTTCCTGATAACGTCATGAAATGGTGATGATATATCAGTTTTCATCTCCATCGTGAACTGGATACTAGGATGTATACCATTCATATGGGTTTGAAAAGACACCAAAGCATCCCTGCCATGGGGCGGAATAACGAATGAATCGTCAACATATCGTAGCCAACATGTGGGTTTGAGCATTGATGTGAATAATGCTGGGGTTTCGAAGTCTTTCACAAAGATATTGGCAATTACTCTTTAGATAGATAGAGGGGAGCCCATTGGGACACTATTTGTTTTTCTGTAGAATTGATTGTGGAAGATGAAATAGTTTTTGGACATGGACATACAATGTTTAATGGTAGATAAATAGACTAGAAAGATAATTACGACCTCCAAAAATGAGACATGGGACAGAAGGTGCAGAGAGATAGAATCTTATATTTGAGGACGAAAATGCACTGAGGCATGGAAGTTTATAAACTCTGTTAAGAAGCCGACTAACGAGAAAGTGATTCTAAATCCCATAAATCCCGAGGATTGGACACATTATTACAAACATCTATTAAATGAGAACAGAGACGAATTTAAAGAAGATATGAACTCATCAAGAATCGAAATTCTGGGAGACCATATTACCATAGATATCAACATAGTTCAAAAAGTTATAGCAGGGATGAAGAATGGGAAAGCAAGTGGACCAGAGGGAGTAACTACGGAATTAATAAAGAATGGCTCAGAGAAATTACACAGAATGATCACGGTGATATTTAACAAATATATTAATGGACATCCAACACCAGATGAATGGAAAACAGCATATATGACTCCAATAGATAAAAAAGGTGACAGAAGAAATTGTAAAAACTATAGGGGGATATCGGTCACAAGTTCAATGAGTCGACTATACGGTCTAATACTACGGGACCTGATAGAGAAAGATTATCAATCGTCTGAAGACGAAGAACAAGGAGATACAGACCAAGGGTTTATGTACAGATAACATCTTCTGTCTTAAACAAATTATAGAAAAGAAAATTGTGACAAATAGAGAATTATATATGACTTTTGTAGATCTGGATAAGGCATATGACACAGTCCCGCTAAATAAACTATGGGAAGTCCTGGGCACATCAAACATAGATCAAACATTGGTTAGTGCTCTCAAAGATCTATATTATGGTTCAAACTCCGAAATGAAATTCGGAAACCTCTTAGCTAAAAAATTTGCAGTTACTAAGGGCCTCAGACAAGGATGTTGTATCTCTCCGACTCTATTTAGGATTTATATCTCTGCAGGTCTGAAACAATGGAAAAGGAAAGTCAAAGGAATAGGAATACAATTGAACGATCAGGATTACATATATACTTTACAGTTTGCAAATGATCAGGTGGTGATCTCAAATGACAAAGACGACATGGTATACATGCTTAGAAAACTAATTGAAGAATACCAGAAATGGGGATTAAATATCAATTTAGAAAAGACATAATATCTCTCAATTGGAGCTGACGCAGAATAACTCGATATCGATGACAATCAAAAAATAAATTCATGTGACGAATATAAATACCTGAGCGTCATCTTCGACCGTAGTGGAAAAGACGAACGAGAAATAGAACATCGAATTGTACAAGCACGAAGAGCTATAGCATGTTTTAACGGAGTTCTATGGAGTAAAGAAATATCAAAGAAAAGAAAATGGAACATCTATGAGATAATTAATTACTATTTAACTGGGAATAAGCCACAATTAAAAATGAAAATACGTTTATATAAAATACTGTTTGTATTTTGAGAACGATTTCTGAAGTGGAAATTGAAACGTTAATAAACGTATTTTTATCTTTAATTGTAGCTTATTCCCAGTTAAATAGTAATTAATTTAAAATGCCACAAGAAAATAGTTTCAGAACAATATGAGACAGTGATTAAAACTAGCCTACTTTATGGAGCTGAGACATGGATAATAACCGAGAAATATAAGAAAAAGGTCGAAGCCACGGAAATGGATGCCATCAGAAGATCGATAAGAATATCAAGAGCCGACAGAATACAGAATGAAGTGCTAAAACAACAAATGGGTATAGAGAGCACTATAGTTAAGGATATTGAGAGAAAACAGATCATATGGTATGGGCATGTGAGCCGAATGGGGTAGGAAAGATTGCCTAAAAAAACGATGATGTAGCAACCCCCAAAGAAGAGGAAACGAGGAAGACCACCACAGAGCTGGAACCTGGGAGTTAGGAAAGCGATTAGCGCTCGAAATCTGGACGAAGACCTAACTCAAGACAGAATACAGTGGCGTTTGGGAGTCGGACAATATCGGAGTCGGACATTGGGAGTGTCGGAGTATATATATATATATATATATATATATATAATATATATATATATATATATATATATATAAATATATATATATATATATATATATATATATATATATATATATATATATATATATATATATATATGAATAGTCTTGTTGGATACTGTATTTAGTTTTTTGAATGTTTAGAGTTTTTTCTATAGGAATGTTTGTGAAGAGTGAAACAATATTGAAACTTACTAGAATACGGTACGGTAATAGAGTACGGTGATAGGGTTTTGTTTAAGAAGTTCGATGAAATGAAAAGAGTTTTTAAAATACGATAAAGCATTTTTGACAAAAGGTTATAGGGTTTTGGCCAAATACTTGGCCAAGGGTTGTGTAGGGCAGTTGTATGCACTCTGGTATGCAAACGGACGTATAGTAATATCGGTTTTGTGAATTTTGGGTAGGTCATATATTCGAGATGTTCTGGAAGACTTTTCACGAGGATTAATTTTAATAATAGTATTAATCTTATATATATATATATATATATATATATATATATATATATATATATATATATATAATATTATATAATACAGAAAGTGTAGGGCCACAAAAAAAGTTTTAAGTGTAATTTGAGAACAAAATTTACAAAAGGTCTCTTAGAATTTTATTCGTTTGCGTTTATTTGTTTTGTATGTAACAGAAACTCGAATTCAATTTATCCGCTGACCTAAAGTAATCAAATAGACTGTTGAAAATCGTTGAGAAGTCTCTCTTTGCAGATTGGGATCTAGGAGTAACAATAAAATGGGATATCTTATATCTCTTATTATGTCTAGTACTTTTATTACAGAATTATTTAAATTTGAGAATTGAAATTTATATTGCATATTACTTAGACCATATAGCAGATTTAATATTAAAATAATTATTGTAATTGGGTTTTTAGGAAAAGTCGTAGTCATGTATAATATCTAATATAAACAAATAATCCTTTAAAATTAATATTAAATCCAAAGACCAAATAATGTAAAAAATAATTTTTATTTAAAAATCATTTATAAATAGCATATAATTAAAAAAAACCCTTTGGGGATTTTTCATACAACTTTTTTGGACTAACAAGTCTATCATCGGTACTTTTACCAGGTATACATAAGTAAAGCCTATAAGTGTAAGAACTATTAAAATGGTACAAAATTTGTCATTTATTACATCTTTGTTAGCAAGTTAGTGTAATGCTAAAATTTTTAACAGATATACTTGTTGTTTTATATATGAGTTGTTAAACGTATAAAAACTTACAACATGAGGTTAAACCATTAAATTATTAAATTCACAAAACATTCTTAACTTATCTAAATTATATTTTTATGTAAGTACAATATTTTAATTTTGAATATAGTATGACATTATTAGTATAATAATAATATATTATAAGTATATACATATATATATATATATATATATATATATATATATATGTATATATATATATATATATATATATATATTATATATATATATATATGTGTATATACTTACATAAAAATATAATTTAGATAAGTTAAGAATGTTTTGTGAATTTAATAATTTAATGGTTTAACCTCATGTTGTAGGTTTTTATATTAGTTTTATACAATGTTTTTTAATTCTAATTTCATTGTATTTACCATAACATATTTTAGCATATCCTGATGAAGCAAATAAATTTTGCGAAAGCTTGATTTAAGAACAAAGAGTTTAACTTATCCTGCCCTACTTAAATGACTGCATCCTCAAAATCAAACTTTATTTTACATAACGTGTCAGTCAATAATACCTAACTACTTTATATATATAATATATATATATATATATATATATATATATATATATATATATATATATAGTAAACTCTTAAATATTGGAGAAATCTGCAAGAAAAACTGTTATAATATGACTGATAAGTATCAATTGTTTCGCAGAACGTTTTCGTCAAAGAGAATAATTTGGCATTTGGCTTCTTCTTAGGGCTGAAAGGGACTAATACCAACACTAAACTTAATGTGGCTTATAGATCAGCCCTAACAATTAATAATCTTTATTCTAAGATCAAAGATAAGCCTCCTATAGATATGCTTAGTAACATTGTCTACAACATTCCATGCCTCTCTTGTAACAATTCCTACATCGGCCAAACATCTCAATTATTAAAATCACGTATCACACTACACAAAAGTGATTTTTGACTTTACCCTGACCGCTGTGCATTAGACAAACATGTCCTTTCCACTGGTCACCTCATGGACCATACAAACACTACAATTCTCCACCGTGAGAACAGTAAATCTAAATGAGAATTCATTGAAATATATATATATATATATATATATATATATATATATATATATATATATATATATATCTATATATATATTTTCATATATTTTCCTTTCTCCATCAATGTTAAGAGTGACATTAAGAATCTAAGCGATATATACCACTTCTTACTTCAATCAGATACCAATAACAATACAACATAACAGATAACTAAATTGACTGATATATCCATTAACAACTAACCTACTTAAATAATAATTTTCATGAATTAAAAAAGATAAGATTCCCTTGCTTTTCTTAGATACATCTCAATAAGATATTATAATAATAATACATGAACAATATAATATAATAAAGAAATTTTCAATTAAGAAAATCTAAAATAATAATATTTCCCTAAACTGGAATTTAACTTTAATCTGTTTTACCAATGAACTTTAATGACATAAAAAAGCATAAGAACTACTTTGACTTGTCAGCGCATGCATTCTGATAAAACAGAGTCTTACATTTAAACTTTCAAACAATCAAAAATTTAGTTATTGTCGACAATTCAAAGAACTAATTCCTTCTAAATGTGGTTACATTTGGTTTTTTTATTAACCTTCGATACACCTTTCCCTAATAACTTGATGAACAATTTACAACTCGCTAGTGTCATTCGTAAAAAAAGGGGTTTTCTTTTGAATGTCTCTGAGAAAAAATGCTGCGTACTAGGAGAAATCTGGCAGCCCTGCCTTAGGCATCAACTCTTCTCTCTCACCCCACCACTAACGTTGCTAAGTGCCAGCTTAGCCTCCTTTAAAGATGAATTTTCCGAAGCTTTGTCTTTGACCTATTGGCATTCTTCGTCAGTTAATCGAAGTTTATCGGTAAAAGTGCATACATGTTCAACTTGTTCGTAAATGGTGTAGAGAATTCAGTGAAAGCCGAACAGAAATTTACGATAGGAGGCAGAGTGCAAAACATTCAGTTTCAGGAAAAATTGTCAAAATAGTTAAACGAATATTGCTTCAAGATCAGAGGTTTACCATTAACGATCTTGCTTTGCGTATTTCTAAGACTTCTTACACCACAATTCATCTCTAGTAGTGTGAGGCTTCCTCATGACAACGCCCGTCCTTATGACGCACATCAAACTGAACAACTACAAGAGATTTTGACCAAACCGTTGTGCCCCATCCCCTTTCTACACTAGTTCGGAGCTAGCACCAAGTGATTATCATTTGTTTACAAAATTTCTACTGAGAAACTCTCAAGTTTCTAACGCTTTAGTAACGATATCGAGTACCTCTGCACTCGGAGAAGAGTTCCATGCTGTTCTCCGAGTGCAGAGGTACCCTCTCACCGGCTCTGGAACCAGATTGAGCCATGTGTTACCTATAGTCTAATTTAATACTGAACATCACAGTTATTTTACAACAAAATGTACAACATTTCATAACTAAATGTAATTTAAAGGGTTTTTAACCTAGTATTTTGGTGGCTCAGGCATTGTGACCTAGCAATTTTCGATTTTAAAAACCTGATGATGAACTGTGTGGTCCGAAAACGTTTGTTTTATTGATGTGGCCCTTTTAAGGGTTTTTTAATAAATATACCCATTTACAAAGATTAACCTCTTTTTACTTATTAAATGGTCACTTGTGCTGAATCCCTTTCTAAAACCAGCCTGTTCTTCCGACTGGTATCCATCGAATTTTGTCGTCAATCTATTGGTTAAAATTTTTGTTACGAGTTTATACATTACATTGAGGAGTGTTATAGGACGGTAGTTTTTTATATCTGCTTTATCCCCTTTCTTGTGTAGGATAATGGTTACTGATTCCTTTCAGTTGTTTAGGATTCTTTTTTCTTTTAATATCTTGTTAAAAAGGGAATGTAGAGTATTAATTACCACTTTTCCACCATATTTCAGCATCTCTGCAGTTATTCCATCTTTTCCAGGCGATTTGTTGTTTTTCATTTCTTTCAATGCCTTCTTTATTTCTGATTTGCTTATTTCGGGCTGCAGCTCTGAGTTGACATTTTTTATTTTGATTTTAAGTCGGTTTTTAATTTCTTCTGGTGGTTCCTTTTTTGTTTTATATAATTCTGAGTAGAAATGGTGGATTATATTTATGATGTCATCTTTAACGTTTGTTTCTATTCCATTTACATCTTTTATTTTGTTTATTTCAAACTTATCTAATTTCGGCCTTAAGCATTTCATATTTTTGTTGTTTTGTATTACTTCTTCTATTTTTATTTCTTGTTCTTTTCTCTTATTTTCTTTTATCATTCTGCTTATTGTTTTATTAATTTCTACATATTCTATAGATTTACTTTTGCCTTCTTCGTTCAGCTTCCTTCTTTTATCCATAAGCTTCTTTGTTTCTGTTGATATATAGTTGTTCTTTTTTAGATCTTTCTTTGCTATTTCTTTTCCTGATGTAATCATTGTTGCTGTAAGTATGTTGTCTATTTCGTCTATATCTTTATCGTCACTGTCTAATCTTTGAGTAAGTTGTTCTTTTAATAGGTCTTTGTAATTGCCCTAGTTTGTTTCTATCTACTAGATTCCAGTTTCTCCTTATTTTTCTTTTCATCTCATAGTTACCGTCAATACTAATTTTTGCTCTGACCATCCTGTGATCGCTACCTGTTGTGAATCTGTTAAGAACTGTTACATCTTTAATGATATATCGTTCCGTGGACAGTATGAAGTCGATCTCATTTTTTGTGGATCCATTAGGATGTCCACTTTTGTTGGGGCTTCTTTTTGTAAAAGAAGGTCATTGCGTATAGATGCTTTTCTTCTAGGTAGTTCATCAAAGTATCAGCTCTATCATTTCTCTGACCATACCCGAAATCTCCTATTTTAGTTTCTTCTTTGTTTAGTTTTTTACCCAGTTTGGCATTGAAATCTCCAATTACTAGTGTAAGATGATTTTTATGTTCTTCCATAGCCTTTGATATATCTTCATAAAATAGTTCGATATTTTCTTCATCATAAGCTGTCGTGGGGGCATATTCCTGGATAATTTTAATTTTAATCATTATCGTTATGATTCTATATATGGCTGGTGTTTAAAGATGTAGTCAGCTTAAGATTTCTGATTTATTGGCCAGTGATGGAACCGCACCTAAATTCTTTGCTTTAGTACTACGAAAAAAGGTATAATTAACATTTCAACACAACAATGTAAAACATATTTTAAAAAACCTCCCACATAGGAAGACCAGGAAAACAATACGTGTACAAAATATAGGAACATTGGGATCTGCAATAAAAATAACAAAAGATAAAGTTAGAAACGATGTTGTTTTTCATATAGAGTATTAATAAAATAATATAATGTACGTGACAAGTTATTTGCTCAGTTGCCAAAACTATTCCAAATATGCATTTAACTGTAAAAAAAAATAAGCGATAAATAGAATATTGATGGTAACCATTGAGCTAATGCAGTCATCAATACAAAAAGAAGATTATAAGTAACGGTTTGAAACAAAAAATACGCACCAGAACAAAAATACATAAAAAGATTACAATTTTAGATATAGAAGATAACCAGTAAGCTTTTAATTGCATTAACTTAAATAATAGAAAATTTGTTTATCGCGAGAAATTGCATATTTTATTTATTGATATATAAAGTATCTGACAGCCTTTT